GCGAAGATTCTCGGCCCCCGCGTTCGGCCCGGGTATGTGCTTAGCCACGGTGCGGGATGCTCGACCGCTCGATTCGCCGACTGGAATTGTTGTCATCGATCGGTTATTCGGTGAAATTTTTTTTCCTTCTTTTTTTGGTAAAATCACTCACATAATTCTTCTCTGTCGAGACTTCGCGATCCACCGCCGAACAGGCCTTTGAAGAAACTCTCTTTGGGCGGTTCGGGCATGTCGTGACCGATGAACAGATCTCCCATCATCTCGGTTAATTCGCCGCTATGAAAAATGAAAGATGAAAAGAAAGGAAGGAAGAGAATTTTTTTATTATTATTTATATGGTGAATTCATTACCAAAATTGACTGGAAACGGAAAACTTTTGGATCTCGGTAGGCGAGGAGAGGTACAAACCGTGGCCTCTATTGCTGAAGCAAAGCGTTTTTGCAATTCTGTAAAAAAGACATGGGATCGTTATTGATACATTTCTTCAGGGTATACGATATACGAATATAGGTTTTGTCGGGACGTAACATCGAAATTGAGAAAAATATATATTTATATGTAAAACTTTTTTTATCGATAATAAAAGGGAATAATGAAAAATCGGAGCGATTTCGTTGATATTATCGATATAAATAATAAATTAGATTAAAGGAGGAATATATATAGGAATCGAAAATAATAAAATATATCGTGAAATATAATATAGGTGTATATATAGGTAATAATATGCGCGCTAGGCATTGCATATTGTATAAAATACATATTGTGAAAAGTGTATTTTATAGATCACTTACTGATCGGTATCGCCATTAACAAAGAGTTGATTACCCCATATGGACAACATGGGGTCTACAATGCCATGTTTTGTAGTCTGAAAACTGTTAGAGATTACAGAGACAGGAGAAAAGTGAGCGTTAAGCCATACACGAGTAAAAAGAGATTTTTTTTTAATTCGCATTAATTAGCATTAACCCTTAAAACATCAACAATCTTTTTTTATCTTTCAGATATATATATATTTTCAAAACAAAATAATATATTCCACTTGATCCCAAATATAAGTATACAGAGAGAACTATGTAAGAAAAATGAAATATAATAATAATAATAATTTAAAATTAATGTATCGTTTGTTGCTAAAAAGTTGCTGCCATCTTAAATTTAATATAAAGGTATAAATATAGCGAATTTCCACAATATTCATATTCTGGTTAGTTAAAAAATTAGATTATGAATTTGATTAATTTTGATTTGATTGAGAAATCTACGAAAAAAAAAAATATCGATCGAGTGATAATTTTAATTTTACGCGATAGAAATAAGAGAGATTTTTCTTTTTTTCTTTATTCGATAAGATAAATGATCGAGTAAATTTTTATTACAATTTAAAAATTTCCTGGAAAATCAATATGAAAATTTAATGGAATATTAATCCGAAGTGTTAAGATATATATTATAAATACTTATATATATATATATATATACTATACTACAATTTACGTTAATAATGCTGAGGAAAAAATGTGATATAATTATCGAAAAAGGAATAACAATCGAGTAATAATTAAATTTTCTAGCAACTAAAGAGATTTCTTGTAAAAGAAAAAAAAAAGTAGCACACATCTCGAGGGATTTCTAATTTGTAAAAGTATAAAATATATATTTTTTTTTTTCGAGTAACTGATAATATATAAATATACTAGCAAGAAGCTACATAAAAATATTTTATATTTTATACATTCTTAAAGAATTACGTTAGTAACTAATTACATTAATACGTATAATCAGGATATGAATATTTATATTATTCACTATAAGTAGTTAATAAGAAGAAATAATTACTATAAATAAAAAAAGTATAAAAATTGAAGATGCAGATACAATATCATTTTTGAAATGAATAACGACCAATTCATTAAAATAATTTGCAATTTGAAAATTATTTTTTCAACTATGTAGAAGATATAAAGAAGTGCAATATAGAATTGTGCTTGTATAGTAAAGAATTTCTACGCAAGGCATGCTTTAAGTGTATTAAGGGTTAACGAATATATACATATGTACATATGTATATATAATTAAATATAATAAAGAAATTACATGCTATAAGTATTAGTAAAATTAAATTATCGTTATCATATCACTAATCATAATTAATTATTTATTATATCGGTATTAAATATAATGTCTAATGTCAACATTCAATCAGCTACATGGTGCATAACGCTATACAATGAAACAACGAATGTTTAAATATCACGATATTTATTTATTATGAGCAAAACTATACCTGAAATTTGTAATTCAGAAATTGTTCTCAAATTCGTTCTTCAAATTCATTCGTATATGCGTGTATTAGCCAAAAAATTTTCAATTTTTTAATTTTATACGATAAATGATATAATTTTTTTTTATTAAAAACAGCAATAACTGTGCTCGACAGTAAAGTAAAATAAAAATTATCATATTTGAAATCAAATCATATCAAAATTAATTTTTAAACTTTCACGCTTACTTTCGAAACGGTAATTTTTCTATAACAGGATAAAAAGATTTAAATGTTATATCATATAATGACATAAAATTTATATAAAATTTGGACGAAGAATTTATATATATATAGCCATTTATATTTAATATCTTACCTATATTTCTTTTCATTCTTTGTTGATAGCAATTTTTAATAGATTAAAATTATAATATTTCTCTAAATAATAACAAAATTATACAAAGTTTATCAATAAATGTAATAAAAATACTTTAAAACAAAAAGAATTATAAAAATATAATCGGAGTTAAATTTTTAAAGAAATTAAGAATTAGATACGAAAGCGCTTTCACACGTGCATTGTCTACACAAAATTGTTATCTTTTTTTTTTTTCTTATTAATCGCTATTATATTTAAAAATGATCAGTTAAAAGTATTAGCCAAGAGAAGAATTTTATTAATATAAAATAAGTTTTATGCTACCGTTCAATATAAACGTATAATATTACAAAGTGTTGCTGCATTAAGAAAAGTTGCAGTGGCATGTTAGTGCATTATATACCATGTGCAATTGTAATCGTTATTTTGCCGCAAAAAGCAAATTATTCAGGGTATAATTGTTATTCTTACCTCAAATCTATAAGCGGTAGAAAATCGACGTCTATAAGTGGCCTCAGACTTGGCAAACTATACGTGGCTATGTGACCATTCGAAACGTAACAAACGAGACACACGTTATCTGAAATAAACAAAAGGCGCTCCTTTACAACAAACGAAATTTTATTGGAAAAATTCAGACCCGTCGAATCGATCGAAATTAAGATTAAAATTTTGTATAATAAGAAATATAAAAATAATTAGAGACATGAATCTTTTAAAGTACTAATCTCTGCTTTGATCGCGTATTCCTTTACAATTTTATTTCGTTGGAAAGATTCAGATCCCACGAATCGATCAAAAATTGAAGAAAAAATTTTGTACAAAAAGAAATATAAAAATAATTATGAATCTTTTAAAATCGTAATCTCTATTTTGATCACACGTTCCTCCCACGAATCGATAAGATAAAATTTTGTATAATAAGAAACATAAAAATAATTAGAGATATGAATCTTTTAAAGTACTAATCTCTGCTTTGATCGCGTATTCCTTTACAATTTTATTTCGTTGGAAAGATTCAGATCCCACGAATCGATCGAGATTAAGAAGATAAAATTTTATAATAAGAAATATAAAAATAATTAGAGATATGAATCTTTTAAAGTACTAATCTCTGCTTTGATCGCGTATTCCTTTACAATTTTATTTCGTTGGAAAGATTCAGATCCCACGAATCGATCGAGATTAAGAAGATAAAATTTTATAATAAGAAATATAAAAATAATTAGAGATATGAATCTTTTAAAGTACTAATCTCTGCTTTGATCGCGTATTCCTTTACAATTTTATTTCGTTGGAAAGATTCAGATCCCACGAATCGATCGAGATTAAGAAGATAAAATTTTATAATAAGAAATATAAAAATAATTAGAGATACGAATCTTTTAAAGTACTAATCTCTGCTTTGATCACGTATTCCTTTACAATTTTGTTTCGTTGGAAAGATTCACATTCGACGAATCGATCGATTAAAAAGATAAAATTTTATATGAATCTTTCAAAGTACTAATCTCTTTGATCACGTATTTCTTTACAATTTTATTTCATTGGAAAAATTCAGATCTCATGAATTGACCAAAAATCGATTGAAGAAAAAATTTTGTATAAAAAGAAATATAAAAATAATTATACACACATTTTAAGATCGTAATCTCTGTTTTGATCGCGTGTTCCTTTACAAACAATTTTATTTCGTTGGAAAAATTCAGAATCGATCGAGAATTGATTGAAGAAAAATTTTAATAAGAGTTTTAATAAATTTTAATAAGAGTAATTTTAATAAATTTTAATAAATTTTAATAAATTTTAATAAGTATAATAAGAAATATAAAAATAATTATGGATCTTTTAAGATCTCTGTTTTAATCACACGTTTCTCCAACGAATCGATCGAGACTACGAAGATAAAATGTCGTATAATAAGAAATATAAAAATAATTATATTTAAAAATAATATTAAAATATGAATCTTTTAAAGTACTCTCTGTTTTGATCACGTATTCCTTTACAATTTTATTTTATTGGAAAGATTCAGATCTCATAAATCGATCAAAAATTGATTAAAGATTCCATTTTGTTTTACTTTAACGAATCGATCGAGACTAAGAAGATAAAATTTTGTATAATAAGAAATATAAAAATAATTAGAGATATGAATCTTTTAAAGTACTAATCTCTTTGATCCTTTATTTTATTTTATTTTATTTTATTGGAAAAATTTAGATCTGACGAATCGATCAAAAATTGATTGAAGATTCCATTTTGTTTTGCTCCAACGAATCGATCGAGACTAAGAAGATAAAATTTTGTATAATAAGAAATATAAAAATAATTAGAGATATGAATCTTTTAAAGTATTAATCTCTGTTTTGATCACGTATTCCTTTACAATTTTATTTTATTGGAAAGATTCAGATCCCATAAATCGATCAAAAATTGATTAAAGATTCCATTTTGTTTTACTTTAACGAATCGATCGAAACTAAGAAGATAAAATGTTGTATAATAAAAAATATAAAAATAATTAGAGATATGAATCTTTTAAAGTACTAATCTCTTTGATCCTTTATTTTATTTTATTTTATTGGAAAAATTCAGATCCGACGAATCGATCAAAAATTGATTGAAGATTCCATTTTGTTTTCCTCCAATGAATCGAGACTAAGAAGATAAAATTTTGTATAATAAGAAATATAAAAATAATTAGAGATATGAAT